TCATAGATTCTTTTCTTCACTTAATGAGATTTTTACAAGTGTCGGAGAATGAAGGTATTTTTAACTCAAGTTTTAGGTGAAAATTGTATAAACTCACACAATGTACGAAAAAATAAAGTGAGAAAGGAGAATAAAAACAGTTTTCTGCAAGAAAAACATACAGCTTAATTTTTGTACGTTACCCTCAGCAGCTCCTTGTCTTTTTCTTAGACAACATGTGGCACAGATGTGTAATGGACAGTGAAATTTTGTTAGTTGATCATCTAATCGATGTGTAAGATTTGAATTGATTAAACATTCATAATGGTAAATTCTTTCGCATTTTGCATACGAACATTCTAAGCGTTTTTCACTATCCAAGATTTGTTCATGACATATTCCACATATAGTTTTATCTAAAATACAAAAAAACCTATAAGTACAAAACACGACATTGCACATGTAATAAAAACACTGAATAAATAATATCTCAAGCTATTACTCTGCTCAAGTAGACATGAGAGAAAAGGTATAGGTTCGTTAAATTGGTAAGTAGCCAAAATTTAGTGATATAGCGTCAATGCACTAGAAACAAACATTCAACAAGTGTTAGTATTTACATTCTTACTTGATGCACAATCGAGACATAGTTGTATCTGTTCGTCTGGGATTGTATTATTATTATTCATGTCATATAAACCAATACATTCGTAATGAAAATATCTTCCACATTTTCCACTACATTTTATTGTAAAATACGGTAATAAACAAATCATGCATATTGGATCAGTTTTATTATCAATAGCAGAATACAGACGATCAGACTCAGTATCATCTTCTTGCTAAAATTGGAAGAAATAGACAAATAACAAGAATTTGTTTACCAACATAACAACTTTGCAAACCTCTGACGATGATTCTTCTATAGTCTGATCTCCATCTTCTTCTTCTTCTTGGTCACATTGTTCATTAGTAACTTCGTTGTTAATAATATCATTCACATTTGAATTTGTTTCTGTCGTTAGCTCTTCAGACTAGAAACATATACGCTTATAGTAAAAGGATACAAATTAGATAGTGCTGTTGACATACTTGCACAATACTTTTTCTTGTTCCTCGTCTTGGTCGTGTTTTTCTCTCACTTGTATTAGTACATGATTCCAATTGATTGAGCGAGGTAGTGGTAGCAGTCGATGATGATTCGACCGAGAGACGACGAGAAGCTGATGAACGAGTAGATCTTTTTGGTTTTACAATACTCTCAGGCATCTAAACAATGAAGAACAAAATAAATATTTAATGATATAACGTAACAAATCACAGAAACAGAAATAGATCAACTTTTCTCAGTTTTCTTGAGAAAAAACGGTTAAATATCTGAATTGATACGGCAGCAAGTTTGAGCAAAGCATACAGGTGTGGGCTATTTCTACTCTAATAAAAGAACAAAGAATAGTCAAAACGTAGCCGAGCAGCGTATATTTACACTGTTTGACTGACATAATACAAAAGATGAATGAATGCAACAATTAATTTAAGCATGAACAGAAAAGTGAGCAGGAGCAGTATGAAAAAAATTGGCGTAGTATCCCAATTTTTTTATATCAGCTGGAGCATATAGCAAGTATAAAATTCGAACACGTCCAGTGAAATATGTAAATAGACGGAAAATATTGCTTGATCAGATACGTAAACAAACGGAATAACTTCATGAAAAGCTACTAATACTGATTTTTTCAGCTGTATTTATTTATTTAAAGCTTTGTATTGTGTTAAAATGAGATTACAAACTCAACTTTTTATTCACCGGAAAACAAGAACAAAAAATAGGAGCAAAATCATAAAAAGTAGGATTTAAATTGTGAGAAAACAGTCGATCAACACAATACTCTGTAAACTACTGATAGATGCTTTAGATTTGTAAAGAAGAATACGAGAGTAATGATGGGTTGTTCATGGTTCTTTTTATTGTGGAAAAAAGTTACTAGAAAAATGCCTAACAATAAATCGATAGAAGACGAAAAGATTAATGCTTGAATGTAATAAATAATCAATAGATATGTCATCACCTACATAGGTAACTCATTTTAATTTACCACATTGATGTTCATTTAGAGTAAAAGTTCTTCTCGGAGTTTCTTCGCTTTTGATTCACTGTCTAATAATTCAACAATTTTGAGAGCAAACGCAAATGCCGTTCCCGGTCCTTGACTTGTTAGCATTCGATATTTTTTATCAGCAAGTTCTATTTCACTGAGATAAACTGGCATATCGACCATGTTATAATCTTTTTCTAATTCTTTTTTAACAGATGGATAGCATGTTAATGTTTGTTGCTTTCTTCCAATATCATGTGCGAGAAGAGCGCGTGGGCCTAAAAAAAACCACAATAAACTTTGAAGATAAGATGATGTTGATTGTTTTTTTCTTCTTACCTGCACATATAGCAGCTACCAACTTTCCATTATCATAATGTTCTTTCAAAATACGACCGCACTCAGAATTTGCTGCTATCGCTTTCGAACCTATGGTTAAAAGATTCATGTGATTTGTTTGAAATTCAAATTAAAACTGCAATTTCACACACCCTCATTTCCACCCGGAACGATGACTACATCATATTTATTATCTTTTACATCAATTATGGAAATATCCGGTACAATTTTTACATGTCGACTGCATTCAAGTGCACTAACGTTAGATTCAACTGAAGCAACGTCGACTTTTATTTCTGCACGTCGTAATACATCAATCGTAGTTACTGCTTCAATCTCCTCTGTTCCATTAGCTACGAATATCAAAGCTTTTTTCGTCATCTTCTAAACACACAATATAATTATGAATAACTTGCAAAGGTACTATGATTGAAGTCGAAAATTAAAAATACATTTGATGATTTTCTCTAGGCAAGTGGACAAAGATCAATAGAACGTGATTATCGAGGAGAAGGTTTTCAGATTGATCAGTTTCATATGTTTCTTGTCAACAAAAACAGTGTATTTCTTTGTAACTTTTCACAGAATGCAGATCCAATACCAAAATACTCTTTAAACACTTTGAGAAGCCATCTTATGTGAGAACACGAGTAAAATGGCGCGAATGAGAGAAATCTGATGTAAAGTCAATATATCCAAAAGAGAAAATCAAAACGTATTTAGCACTGAAGGATTGAAAACCCATATAATAGTACCAATTTCATTCCCTTGCCTTTATATAGTCTATGATCATACAAAAAACTTTTGTTCTATCTGTTCGCAAAACATGGAAAAATGTCCGTCGGGTATTCTATGGACGATTTAATCAAAAGAGTTGAAAACACTGATGAGATCACTCACCGACCAGTGTTTCTAATAAAAGAGTGTACCAGTTGAAACACAGTGTGCAGTAGTTATATATAACTCATATATGAAGATTCAATGTACGCTTTGTTTTTAGCTGACTTTTAAGACGTACAAAGGTTGTTTATTAGTGGTTAGCTCAACGCCCAATCTGATAGTATGGCGCGGATGGTTAATCCTTACGAAATAAGTGATCTAGTTAAAGGAACCTGCTTGTTCTATATATTCATTCAGCAAATATATTTTTCCACATAGTCCCACTGTTTCGCGCCAAACTTTCAGAGGCAGATCAACAAAAGTTCGAAAACGTCGAAGAGTTGGTCTGCCTTTTGAGTCTGAAAACGATTCTGATCATTAAATAGCTCATCATCAGCCGAGAACATAAAGTTCATGCACAAAACGGCCCATAAAAAGATGACCCATGACGACCATATAATTTGCAAATTTTTCCGCCGAAAGTGTACTGCAGAATGTAAACAAGGTTTGTAAGGTGCACGTAATTCAAAGTTCGAGTGAAATTTATTTTTGAACATATTATACACTGTTGGATAGAGGTTTTCGAGGCGATCACGAATATACGTTCCTCGATCTTTTTTTGACACTTTTTCCGGTCGAAAAACTGAAAATACTGAAACGGTATCAAAACACAGAATAACGTGAGGTTTCAAAAAAATGGCCGTAGTTCTTTTGCATTAGGGTTTCAATGCGCAAAACAAAGTTTTTTGGATTCAGCATCTAAAACTGAATTAGGAATGGTCTTGAAACATTTTTAGAACCAAACGTCTGTTCACAAAAAGTTTTGCAATGTGCATGGTTCAAAGACGGTACCCAATTTTGCAAACCTATCACAGATTTCCCTAGCGGTCGTAGAGGCAATATTTTCACGTAGTCAGATTCGCTAGATGCTCAGTTTCAAAACTATACGAACAGTTGTTTTAAAATTCTTTTTAGTTGCTGAGAAAAATTATTTTTTCTAAATCAGAGGCGAAAAAGCCGAAATTCTGCCCGTAATTTCCAATTTTCTCGATCAGAACTCAACTTTTGAGCACTAAAAATATCATATTCGGAATCAGGATAAAAAACTGGGATGATTTTCAGTTTGGGGTGAAAATCTCGGTAATTTTCAACGTGAATCCGGTTTAGTTTTTTATCCTGATTCCGAATATGATATTTTTAGTGCTCAAAAGTTGAGTTCTGATCGAGAAAATTGGAAATTACGGGCAGAATTTCGGCTTTTTCGCCTCTGATTTAGAAAAAATAATTTTTCTCAGCAACTAAAAAGAATTTTAAAACAACTGTTCGTATAGTTTTGAAACTGAGCATCTAGCGAATCTGACTACGTGAAAATATTGCCTCTACGACCGCTAGGGAAATCTGTGATAGGTTTGCAAAATTGGGTGCCATCTTTGAGCCATGCGTATTGCAAAACCACTAATAAACAACCTTTGTACGCAGACTTGCTAGCAGACTTTGCGCAGATTGTTGCAGAATATCGACAGGTTCTTCGTAAATTTTTGCAGATTTACTTTAATGCTGTAGCTTCAACGAAATCGTTTGCTGAACATGTATCGAAAAATATTATAAACGTAAAATTGTCTGCAGAAATTCCTTCAACTTGGCAAGTGATCGGCAGATTACATTTAAAAATATAAACTTACACTATGCGATTCTCGAGAAAATGTGTCAATCTGTTAGTAGTTTGTGATGGGCTACAATTGTTCCATTGACAATTAATCGTGCTAATATCTCGCCCACTAGAGAGCCAATTATTGCACCTGCAAACCCACCAACAAAAGGGCAAAAGGCGGCAGAACCAAAAGTAAAATAAGTCAGAAAACCTTGAATCAATAGAGAAAATATGCCGATTGATAATGATTGTATTAAGCTTTTTAACGTTTTACTATAAAATTCTTCTTTCGTCATTTGTCCTTGTTTATACTGATACACTCGAAAGCAGAGTTTGACGATTTCAACAATAACAACAGCAATGGCTTGACCAATACCTTCGGCGAACAATGTCGAACAAAATTTATTTTCAAATATGCAGAATGATGATTCAATCGCTTCGCTTAATGCTTCTTGTTCGACAGACTGGATTATTGAGTGTGCAATTGCTAAATCGAAAAATCCTTTTATAAAGGTCAGCAAAGGCTTTCCTACCCAATGAACAACCTTTTCAATTTGAGTCGAATACCATATACCAGTCTTGCAAAAATAAGCCAGACATTCACAGTTCTTTCCGATAAGATTGTATTTTCCATCGAAATCTATATCAGGAATTTCATAACCCGATTCTATTTGTTTCAGTACAAAACGAGCGTTTTCCACCACTATTTCTGCCGGTAATGATTCCATTGCATAGGCTGTTCCAGCGAGTTTAAATCGATGCACTTTGGAGCTGTACATAACACGTTTTAATTTACGTCCTTTTCGAAATATTCTCAATGGAACAATTTGTATTTGTGCACGTGTTTTACTTAAACTACCATCAGGCGTATTAAATTCGAGTACTTCAGATTGGTCATAATCGTTTTCGTCGACAGACAGAATAACACCATGATGCTGAAATAACGGCACTCTCCACACATAAACATGATCACCCGCATGTACATCTGTGATTGCGATTGAATGAAAAATTGGTTCTTGAAAAAGCTCCTTGTTTTTAAGAAAATCAGGTAAATGTGGCATCGTTATCTGAAACAAGAGATTTGCGTATGTAATGAGATAAGGTATTTTTTAATGTTGGACCGTCACATTTTATCGGAATCATACGCTGCGAGATATTTAACGCATTTAGTAGCGATAGTGAAGGTTTTGACTCTGTAAAAATCATAGAATACACTATGTAAAGTAACGGTATCGAATAAATTTGATTGACAACCGTATTTACGTCACGTTACATTTAAGAGAAGTAATGTTTTTTCATCGTCTTTCTATGTAGCATACTTTGTTGAAAGAAAAAGAATCATAATAGGAAAGAATAAATTATATTCTGTGCAAATAAATGCGAAGACTTTTACTACCTCGGGCATGCTTATAACATAAGCCTGACTTTTTTCGTTTGACCTTGTAGAACCTTGTAGTATCGTACAAATTCTAGTTTTCTGGAAACTTCTGAAATGTTCGAATCGCTATCTTTTTCTAAACTTCGAAGAGAAGAGCAATAATCGACTGAATTACCCTAATCTCAAAGAACGTTTATATGTTGAGCAGATATTGCAAGATTCTTTGTCCAACAGATTGTCTGACAAATCTTATTGAGATTTTGAAGTAGATTTTAGCAGAATCTGATCTTGACCATCTGGAACAAAAACTTGATTCCATAACAAGTATCTTGACAAAACTTTATCAAGATCTGCTTCCGTTTTGTACAAGTTTCTTGAATTTAGTTATTTTGAATTAATTTTAAGATTAAAGAGTTTTTTAAATTAGAATAATAAGTTTCATTGCTCAACAAAGAGGAAATGGAAGATGCTAAGGCTTCGCTCCGCCTTTCTTCACGTGTCGAACTTTAGAGATGAGATAACTTTTTTTTTAAACTTGTTTTTAAAACGTTTCTGTTTGCAGTTTCAGATCGTAAGCAATGAAAGAAAAGGATTAACTTCACTCTAGAACATTGGGTAACTAGCTCTACTCACAGTTCCCTGAAAAAAGTTATTGATTCACGAGTTAAATATTTTTTTGAAATTTGAAAATCTCGACTCTGACTTCCTGTTTTTCGAAACCCCGACTCTTGGCATTTCTAAAACTATGATATTCGAATAGAGGATCCTTTTTTTGCTCTAAGATCTGAAAACATCATCTGTTTATTTGTTTTCGTTTAAAAGTTATGAAATAATGTAAAAAGCCTTTCAAGTTTTTTTTCATCCAAGTATAGGTCACCTCCAGCTGTCTCAAATAACTTAGAATAGTATATCCAAAGTAGTGGATTAAGACGTGTACGTTCATAAGCTGAAGTTACTAGGAGACCTAAGCCCCGACTTCGATTCTCAGCTCTGAAGTTCACTGTTTTAGCTTTTTTCTCAGAATCTTTGTTCAATCTTGAGCAGATTTTCGAAGATTCTTAGCGGTGATACAGAAATCTGCCTAAAATCTTGACAGATTCGTCAAGAATCTTGGGAAAGCTTGCAAGATTTGGTCAAGATTTTCGCTTAACATTGACCTCCTGGGTTAACTAAGTATATGATGTTCATCTTTTGTGATCAAGTCTTTGCTAACAAAAAAAATTTAATAGAGAGATAGGTCAACTATGACTTTTGCTCGCATGTCTCGCTGTCATTTAATTTTAGACTTCAACACACAGTTAGATAACAAATACAATTTTTTTTTATCACATTAATATAACAAAATGTTTTTCTTGCGATTAATGGTGTGTGGTCTGAAGACTTACTGTATTTGCTAATAGCAGATACAGTAAGTCACAGTGTCACTATAATAGTGACATAGATACACTTCAAACTTTAGTGTGAAAAACTCAAATTTATTGCATGAAATTCTCAAATCTGACTTCAGAAGATGAAAGATCCCTATGTCCAAAAAGTGTTTCTTCTGGCCAAGAGCCGTTATAGAGATATTCGCTGAGTACGCTACATGCCAGTGCAAAAGTACAGCTGCCAAGTAGCACCCGATATCTAGTAGAATATCTCTGTAGTAGCGAATATCTAAGTCACGGTGAAGAATTAAATAAAGAATCTTTGACAACATATTTCTGGGTTAGCTCGAAATATCCTATTCTTTGGGAATACTGACAGTAGACTGATTTCTGGTAGATACTCTTTCAAGAATCTTATCTCTTACCATTCCAGACAAAAGTCATTAATTTTGTCTTAATAGTGCAGATCTTTATTTAAACCTTTTATTGATTTTTTTTCGCGAAAGATTGTGCGCGTCTGAGATCGTAATGTTTGTTATTAATGATAAAAATCATGAATCTGTTTTGTCGAATCCACACTGTTATATATAGATCTTGACAGGAATTTTTGTCACTATAGACAATCGAGTCTTTATATGTGTTTAAGTTGAGTGAGAGAACAAAGTCTTTCTTACACATAAGTTAATGGAAAAAACTGAAAATTAAATGCATTTTTCCTTTGAAATTTTTTTAAGAATTACAAGGTAATATTCTCGATATCACAAGAATCTTGTAATAAAAATATATGTTTAAAATATTTTATAAGACCTTTATCTGAAATGGCAAGAAACAAGAAACTTGCAAGGATCTTGACAAGAAAGTGAACTAGTATGAGTTGGATATAATTATTCGTATATAAATTGTGTATTCTTTCAGAAATAATTGGTAACTGATGACGTGTGTCATACGAACAGAGCTTTATTTATTCATCGCTTTCTTCTTTTTCGAACTAAAAAGTTCTAACGAGCACATACTTTTCTTGCATATACATATGCATATGCAAGAAAAGTAGGCGTTCGTAAGAAAGACTGTTAACATCATTATTACTTTTGAAAAATTAATCTTTCTCTACATCATAAAGAATTTCAGATAAAAAGACACAAATCCGATAGATTGACGCAAACACGTTTAAAAAGAACATGAAAAAATGAAACAAGGTATTTTAAACTATTTGCATTTACACCATACATTACAAAGAATTTGTCTAAGTACTTTACAACTACAGAAAAACAAGAAAATCACTGAAAACACTATTGTCGGAAAAAAAATTGTTTACAGATCTATATAAGTTAATAAAAGCAAAACGACGCTCGTCTATTTTAAAGAAAAAAATTAATTTCACCAAAATATTTTTGAGGATAAATCTCAAGAAAAGAAACAATGTAATTAACAGAATTGAATTTACGCATGTAGGAAAGAGAATGATAAATATTAAGTCCACGAGTGGCACGAGAGAAAAATTGTATGTTAATTATTATGTAGGACTTTACAAGATTTATCAGCGTCAAGAAATCGACTTAATGATTTCAAAACCGAAAAAAAGACTCATTATTAAAACATTTGTGAAAAATCATTGCATTATGGTCGTGAATCTTTTCTGGTAAATATAAATTGACATGGACAGAATAGACTTCAGAAGTTTCATTGTATAATTCGAGGCAGATCAGTTGCAGTTACAGAAATGTTCTAATAAAATCAGTTGTTCATTTCACTCTTTATCATGAGAAACTCTATCAAGAGCGAATCAGTGACAGCTATAAATTATTTTTTTAAATTTTTTATTGCTATTGCTTTGTTTTCACTAGTTAGACCTTTGTGCCTCTGGCTTTGCTTGCAATATGAGAGAAACAAAAACGGATTTAAATACAGATAGAAACAAAAACAAAGTTGTAAAATTCACTCATTAATAAAATTTAAGATTGAGTCAATATAGCTGCTATTTGATTATTGCCAACGAGTCACATAGCGAGATGGTCGTACTTCGTGTTAGATCGTGAATAAACGGGTATTCACGATACATAAGAAAAAACATTTTTGTTGCCGATTGTTGTATATAGGCTATAAATAATTAGAAGTAAATAAATAACGTAAAAGGTTGATTTCTTTTCTACCTATACGCATAAGTATAATTACCTGTCGCTACCACTGCTATGTTATTTAATCCAAATGAACGCACAAGAATCATACTTAAAACGTAAAAAAGGGCATCATTTTCAGCTTAGAGCTCTCTTTCCCTTAACTCTTCCTGTCTAGCTGTGGACATGTACAGCCCCTTTGATTAAGGATAACAAATGAATAACAAAGAACACTAATCGCTAAGGAACGTTTTTGCTTTAGTACTAAGATGAATCATCAATCTGACTTAATTGGATTGAAAATGAGCTTAAATCAATTGATAGCAATCATAAGCGTAAATAATATAATACGACACAGTACTACAAAGAAAGTCCTTTTTAAAATTTTCTATGAATTCGAAATTTAACCAAACGAAGTTTACAAAGAAGTGACAACAAGCAATGACACGAGGCGATTTGTGCTGACACAAAGGATTACAACACCAAGCTTCGTGACTGAAACTAACTGATTAAATGTTGAGACAATTCAACTCACAATCAGACAGATACAAAATACAAAAATTCGTGAAGAGTTACTCAGAAAATTTGGACCTGAATCTGCTTCTGCTGCAGGATTGAAAAATCAAGAAATTAGAATCAACTCAGACGTATAGGTCTGAATGTTGACTAGTGTTACTTCGTCCTAAGAAAATTGCTGTACATTTTTCTTTTTTGTTCTTTTTTTTATCATTCTTTATTCTCGATCTGATGTTAGTGTTTTTATACTGGCATTTTAGTTTTCTTTCTACCGTGTACTCATCAAACAAATAGATATAGAAAGATAAATACATGATCAAATATCCAATTTTCTTTCATTAGGAGATTTAACATCTTTATTAAACTTGTATCTACCCTAAATCAGCTTGATCAAACTGTTCTTTTTCTTACATACGAAATTTTAACAACCAATCAGCTTTAAACATTTATTTAAGTTAATAACTAAAAGAATCAGACATGTATTTCATTATGAAGACAGCGAAAAGAAAGAAAGAACGACGTACAAATGTATCTTTAAACAAAGTACATATAAATAACTATCGACAACAAATTATGAGTAGTATACCGCGTCTCTTAAGATAAAAGAAAAATCTGTTAATATATGATTAAAAATGATTAAAAATTGTTCCAATTTAAAGTTTTTCTTTATGACATTTTGCTTGTGCTTCATGCGATTTCTAGAATATGTAAATAATTTTTAGCATACATTTTATGGATATGAGAGAACGGAAGTACACACCTCTTCAATTTTGTCACCAACTGCATTGATACCAGCACCAATTCTTTCTCCAACACCTAAATCATTGAAACAAAATATAAATACGTGTAAATAAACAGAGTCTGAATAACTTACGATTATCGCTATCTTTTGCTTTTTGTTTATTTGCTTCATACGATGCGCCACTTGTTAATTCTTGAGCTTTTTCAGCTACATAATTATAGGCATCTTTTACTTTTTCAACAGCTGTGCCGAGAATGCCACTTTCTTCTTTATGTCCTTCCTTTTTAGCTTCATGTGATTTTTCATCAATTTTGTCTTTTGCAGCATCGACTCCTGGATTTTTCAAAACAAGACAAATTGACCATACAAAATGAAAAATATATTTGGATCCTTACCATGTCCAACTCGATCACCAACCGTTCGATCACTATCTTTTGCAGCTGATTTGTTTGCTTCATATGATGCACCAGATGATACTTCTAGAAAAAATATATATATTTAGAGAAAAGATCATCATTATCCTATATTGCCGTCTATGGATACTGCAAGATAGATACAGGACTAAAAAGTTCAACCGTTTTATTGTTAATAGCGTACAATATTGTATTAATTAAAGAAACTGAGGAAGAAAAAATATAAAACATTTTATAGTTTCCTCTGTTCTTCTCTTGCTTTTCTACTAGAAAAAAAATCCCGATAGAAAATGTTACACATTTCATTTTTCTTCCGTTCCAGTATTAACTCTTATAGAGTTACACTGACTATATTGATAATACATTGCCCTTTTATTCGACAACAATGTTTTCTATTTTTCTCTGTTCTCATAGCAGAATGCCTAGTCGGGTGTAATAGGTGAAAGAATACATTACACTATCATTATCAAGAAAAATCTATCCATAGTCGATCTTATCAATTAAAATAATTTATTACTTTATCAATTTTCTCACTGAACATTTGGTGTATATTAATCCAATAGTGTTGTTACTCGATTCTAGTCGTCAACTTTCAATGGGAGTTTCGAGAGACTAGAAAATTATCAAAAAATTATTGTTTTACGTTGGTCTTTGTACAAAATCTAAAAAAGTATGGAGAATGACTCAAATTCTCTAGTGTATCGAACACTTTATGTATTCACCATTCTGGTTTTTCATGTTATATGCTTCAAGACCAACATCGATTTTCTAAAACAGTTTTCAAACTCGTTCTAATAAGTGATCATTGATTTATCGGTTTAACTTCTTGTCAAACATTATTGAGATAAACATCTATTAATTGATATGGAAAAAATTCCTTAAACTACTTATAAAAAATTCTACAGAAGTGTACAGAGTTTTTCTTGCAGGGATTAGTGAATGTACAATGAATACTTCGGTTTTCATTTATACTATTTTCCAAAACAAAAAATTAACTATTTGTACATACCTTTAACTTTTTCGGATACGGCCTGTCCAGCTTCTTTAACTTTCTCCATTGTAGATTTGTTATATTAATGTAAAAATACGTTTACTATTGCAAAGAATATTCTATATAGAATGACTATAGTTAGTTCCTCTTACTAGTTGTGCGAAGTAAATGAAACTTATACGAAGATGCAATGGTATTTATATATTTTAGAAAGAAAATGAGAAGTATTTTAATTTTTTTCTTATTTTTTCTCTCATTCTCTGATTCTATTCTCTTTCTTTCTTCTTCGTTCTATGGAAATAATGATGACGTGGAAGGAACACAGGACTAGCCACTATACTTATGTATGCATTAGACAATGTAAATTATGCGTGTGTAGAGGTTTAAGTCAAATAGCGGCCGTCATTCAGCCGCCATTCAGCTATAAGTGATTCTGATAATCTAGAATGTTTCGTTTTGTTATGACTATCAGCACCTTCGAGACTGGCATGGTGCCAGTCACGTGTGGCCGCAACCAAAATGCTGATGCCACTCTAAAGTGCACGTGTACACAGTGCATTGGTTACTGATTTTTGCACAGGATGATCGTTTCGGTCAAGCTAAACTTTTAAAATTTTTTCAACGTCAATATCAGCATAACACATTCATACTGCCGTTTAATGGCAGAGCTTAACTTGACCGTACTATGCAAAAAGAACAAAATAGTTTTGAAATTAAGAACATCATACATAAGGAGACTTTTATTTCACACATATCATGTGCCGATATTGCTTACATCTGCTTTGAATAGAACAAATCAGACATAACAAGTTAGACGCTCAGGTCGGTCAAAACGGATACCGTTTACGGGTAGTTTTACGGCAGTAAATGATGAAAAAACGGTGTAGTGTATTACGGCCACAAACGAAGAAAATACTGGTAGTAAACGGTCCGTATTTCACCGTATGAGAACGAACAGTTTTATGGTCCCTATCGTAAACGTATTGCATTTGGCCGGTTACAGTACTTTATGATTCAAATATGGTGACCCGTTTTTCTCCGTATTCTTGCGGTGTACTATCATAAAAACGAGGTCTTGTGTCTGTTTACTCCTGTTTACAGTCAGTTTTTTGTCGGGCGATTCTCGGCAAGGCCGGCCCTACCCGCTTCCAGTCTATTATTTTCTGTTTTCACACAAAAACGAAGTTTAAAAAAAAGTGAATTCAACAAATGGCAACAAGGACAAAAACACACAAGAAAATTAGTTTTCACATGTATAGGTCTGATAAACAAGAAAAAATAAACAACCACAGAGATTTAAAAAAAGTTAAGTCTCCCTGTTTAAAGAAAAAAAAGAAAACGAGGCTAAGAGAACACAAGATAGCTGCAAGCAGACTAAAACAGAGCGCAATTAGACGAAAGATGAACGCTAAGACAAACAGGATGAAATCGAAAACAGGTCACAGAAAGAGCAAGGGTGAGAGAAAAAGACAAAGTAGTCTCAACGGGTGCAGAAGAGAGAAACAACAAAATCTGCTTAAAAGAAAGCGTAAACAAACGAGCAGACTGGAAAGCAAGGCGAACAAAAACAACGCTGAACTCTCAGTAAGGGAAAACTGAGCTAAATAAATCAATATAGAGTGCTCAAATAAACTTAGTTTAAATGGAATAACTTGATTCTAGCTAAAAGAAGTTTATGTCGTCAAAAATCAATACAAACCAATATTTACTTTAAAAAAACGCCAAACGAGGACGTTCTTTATTTTCTAACCATTACCCAGGTCAAAAAAATCCTACTAGGTTTCTACAAGATCCTATAGGATCCTACTGATAATAGGATTTCACAGGATTTCTATTGTAGGATCCTATAAAATCCTATAGCAGGAATTCCATAGGATTCTTGATATAGGACGATAGCAAAAATCCTATAGAATTCCTATAAACAGGAATCTTACAAAATCCTATGATAAGATGTCAGATTCTTATTTTTTCGTTCTGTATATATATTTTTTTCCTTTTCTATACGAAAACACAATCACCGACGTGTTTTGTAGTAACTATAGTATAGTACAACTCTATTGTAGAAAATGAAAAATTCTTTTAGACTCCTGGGCTTATTCCAGCTTAGAATCATCTGATTCTGGCTATCTGGGATCAGAGAATAATTAAACAAATAAAAATAATAGACAAAGTAGAATAAACCATATCATATCCCAGCGGATCATGTAAAATCGTATCAAATCCGATAATAAGATTATATAGGATCTTATATGATCGTATAAATTCCTACTGTAGGATCTCATAGGATCCTATAGTAAGAATCCTACATCATTTCGTGCTTTAAAACGTGTTTCCTATAAGATCCTATATGATTTCATAGAATTATATAAGATCAGAAAAGATCTTATTTTAGGATCCGATAGGATCTTACAAGATCCCATATGATCATATTGTAGGATTCTTCGACCTGGGTAGGCTACATTCACAGTACACAACGTAAGTTTGTCTTAAGGATGCTGACTGGATAAGAAGTTAAGTTACACTTAAGGCGCTTAACTTTACAACTGTATAACTTATCGTATACACAAGTGTATTGAGTGAATAACGAGGTCGGTACGATACATACATGTGATGCATTTTAGTTTTGGGTAATTTACTCTCTGATCATAAATGACTCGATAATCAATAGTGTGGTTCCATTAGACAAGTAAGGAAGCGCCAGTTCTGTGGGAAAACAAACATTTGACTCTCTACTCCATTTTTCTGTCTGAGCTTAGAAAGGCAACTGTAGAACGTAAATTCAAACCGGCCGGCTGTAAGCAAGCCGCAACGTCGTTTGAGAATACTGAAACCAGGAAGCATTACAATTTTAGGAGAAATGTCAAAATCTTATTGATGTATTAAAGATTCAGATGTGCACACTCTCGAAGTTAACTTCGAGTTAACTCTGAAAAATTTGCAGTGTGAACGTGGCCTAAGTCAGTAATAGGATAATCTAAAAGACTTCTTATTTTGGTGAAACATATTATCAGCGGTTTAGGGAAAATTTTAAAACAAATAGTATTTTTCTACGAAAATTGTTTTTTCCGTTATTTTATCCCAAACAGCACTTTTCCGCTGCTCTACGCGAACTTAATTCTTTTCTTCATGTTAATCTATGCTTGTTCATTTAGAAAATCACGTGTAGATCTATTAATCCCCTCAAGGTTGGCAGCAACCAAAATGCTGCTGACATTCCAAAGTGCACATTCACATAGTTTTCAAATGAAAAAGCATATATTAACATGAAGAAAAGAATTAAGTTCGCGTAGAGCAGCGGAAAAGTGCTGTTTGGGATAAAATAACGGAAAAAACAATTTTCGTAGAAAAATACTATTTGTTTTAAAATTTTTCCTAAACCGCTGATAATACCCAGGTCAAAAAATCAGATTAAGATCTTACAAGATCTTACAGACAATACGATTTCATAAGATTCTTAGTCTAGGATCTTATAAGATCGTGAAGTAAGAATCTTTAAGATTCCTGGTATAAGATAGAAGCGAAAATCTTATACGATTCTTGCATTAAGAATCTTACAAAAACATACGATACGAACCTTACAAGACTTTGTAAGATCTTGTAAGATGATACTGTAAGATTTTTCTTAAACATTCGAAAAATAAAATATTTCATGTTAAAATGATTGGTCAATTGAGTTCGACCATTGTTTAGAGTTGTTTTAGGCAGAAAAAAAAGTAATCAAAATCCAAAAAAAAATTAAAGGGAGTGACGAAAGGAATATAATACTCGGTTTTCTTACCTTCATTTCGGTCGTTTTTGTCTCCACGCCGTTCAGCTGAATAGAAACAGGGTAGTCGAAAGGAATTTGAACTAATGAGGAATGTAGTCCAACTGGTTAAAAGCCTTTTGGCTGATATTTTGCTGATAGATAGGATTGCTGATAGATTTTCATTTTTTCATGCCGTTTTACTACCAGTTTGCGCTCTCAAAACGAAAAAAAATGTTTTTCATTATCAAGCCTGTTTTCTTACACTGATATATTAGTAAAATTGTTTGCCATTACTGCTAGAATGTTTTTTAAGTGTTAGAACGGCTTAGTTAGATGACTAACGGCCCTTAAACGGTTACCGTAATTATCACATAATATGTGATAATATTAGTAAATCGTATTGTATTATATTCTTTGTGTTTCCGTCCGCGTTCTCTTTTTCGAACGTGCTGTATAGAATAGAAACAGCTGAGTAAATGTGTGTGTATATATACACGTGTGTTCTATATAACAATGTTTTTAAAAAAAAAGAATGACCGTTTGTATATATATAGACTAGAACCTTTCGCTTTATAAACCACATACGATTTCATCGTTTCTTAACAAAATGCGAAACTATTTTACATCGTTTTTTTGCAAATTATGTGCTTTTGCTTTTTTTCAAAGGAATTATTCCAAAAAATGAAGTAGTTTACAAAGTAAGTACACAGCATTTCCAAGAGAGGAGGCGAACTAAGATAAATAAAATCTTCCAGTTTTTCCTTAGTGAGAGTTGAACTACATCCTTCTTGAGTCATATTACAGCACCTCTTTGTCTCTCTCAGATAATGCATAAAATCTAAGAGATCTCCTTTTGTATAGATTCAGTTAAACATAGTGATTGTACGAGATCTCAAAATAAAAATGCACACAAGTGAGAAAATGCCTCAAAGACTGACGTCTTCACAAATGTGAGTATCCTCGGTGTAAGATCGCTTTGCCATCAGTGACTTTCAGGATGTAGCAAAGATCAGTTCGGTTCTGTTTGACGCACAGAGGATTTGGGCCCAGCCATTCTGCCTCATTCATAGGATGGTAGAATGGTTCTAGCAACGAACTAGTGCGAGCGATAATATCCACGGGTATACACTCTCTGGAAGTTCATGCATGAATGCTCGATGCTTCACATACGGCAAGCGTAACCTTATTGGTAAAACTCATAATTGAATGAACTAAAAGACATCAGTCTTTCTCACATTTAATTTAAGATCATTTTCAATCATATGATCGAATCAGAATTGCGAAATACAACGAAGTGGGACTTAATTCACTTCAGCAAA